TAGCCGACATCTTTGGGACGTATCAAGTTCGCAAACCAAGAAATCTAATCTTCAATATTTGATGTTCACTGTGTGTTTAAAAATTGCTTCTTTTATACTTATAAACAGCTTCAAGTACTTTGTTTCAATAGTTCCGATTGGCAAATGGTGCTTATTAGGTTGTTAAAAGTGACTTTAAAAAGTAAAAATTAAGAACCTTATTCCTATCTTTTAATGTTGGTTTTTTATGTAACAGATGTACTTAAATACTCTCTTTATAGCTAATGATCCTGAAATCAACAATATGTATAATAATATAAATTATAAAATATTTAGAATAAATATATATTTTTCATAAAATTTTTTACAAAAAAAATAACTGCTAATTTTTGTACAATTAGCACTTCTATCGAAACGTGCAACTTCTTTTCTTAAAAAAATAAAATCTATTTGTTTTAAGTAACTTACATCCTATTACTTCAAGTACATTTCTTTAAACAATCATAAATACCCTTTTATCTTATCATTTATCAATTTTACAAACAAATGGGATTCTATTTCAAAAGCACTTACATATAATTATGAAAATAGACACTCAATTATACAAATCGTACATTTATACACGTGTAAAAAAAGATAAGCGAGTGGGTGGGAGCAACCAATCGCAGTCCTCAGATGTCAAGATTTGGAAAATAAATACCCTCATATGCTAAGCAATGCAATAGTAATATAGATAACCTTCAACCATGAATAATACAAAACCTACTGAGTAAAGTTTTTTTTTTTTTTGAAAGAAAAAAGTGTAATAAGTATCAACAAATACAGGCACCACGGGGAAAACCTGCCGACTGAAGTTATCAACAACTCTCACATTCATCCCATTGAGCCGCAACATGAAGTTTAATTTAAATTGCAAAGGGAAAAGACTTAATAATCAGGGCAAAACTAAGAATCCAGGAGAAGTTTCCATACATGTTTTTTGATGCCTTGTCTAACAACCCAGACTTCTTTCTCATTTGCTTTCTTGTCTGAAATATATCTATTGTAATCATCCCAAGCCTCTTTTGATGCTGAGACAGAAAATATAAATATGAGAGGACCCCATGTGCTGGCTGGATTTACTGGCGTAATAAGTGACCATAGCTGAAGGCATGCAATCAACAAGAAATACTGGTTCATAAACCGGCTGGAAGACAAAAAATAATCTTTAGAGAATGAGACATATGGAGAACCAAGAAAATGATGGATAAAATGTACGAGCTTGACAATATTTTTCAACAGAAAGAAAAGAAAATATTGTAGAAGAGAAAGAGAATGCTAAGAAAGTAAGGCGGGATAAGATATACAGCTACTAAATGACACAAAATAAAGAATAAGAAATAAAAAGTAAAAAACAAGATAAGGAGAGGGGGGCATATTAATATAAGACATCCTCCCGGTTCTTTTGGATAATAAAGGTAAACCCAAGAAAATAAACCCTGTATCTTAGCTCAAGAAGTTATACTAATCATTATTTCCATGTGTGCCATGTTACACATTGATTAAAGATCCAACATTCTTTTCCAGCCACAAAGCCCAACAGCCAGCAATTTTTTGAAAGAGAATATTCTATTAAGAACAGCAAGGGGGTAGTTTCCCTCCATAAACTTATTCAAAGGGACACTAACATATATACATAAGTTAATCTAATCCAGATACAAAGAAGGTGTGGCAGATCAGGTAGAACATATCACCCAGTAACGTGAGCAAAGTAGCTGTGACAAATGAGACGTAACAGGACAGATTTTGCATACCCAAAATGCTAAAAATTTGGAGACAGATAGAGAGAGAGAGAGAGAGAGAGAGGTAACCCATGACCGAAAATAGTAAGCAATCAAATTCATAAAATGAGGAATCACCTGAACTGTTCCCATAGATTTTTTGGGAGAAAATTCAATAAAGTATATTTTCTGTTTGATATACGGTTGTCACAGTAAAGTTCTTGGGATGCTTCATCATCGTTTATGTAAACAAATCGCTTCATTGTTCTCTTAGAAGCAAGCTATCATGATTTCTATGTTCTCCAGTAGTTCCATTACAGAGCTGAATTGCAACAAGGAGCACGGCTATAGATAAAAAATTCCATACCCTACCAAAAAAAAGTTTAAAAACTGAGCTTCTATATCACATAACAAGCAATATCAATGCCACATGTAGACAGAAATTCAGCATAAGACACCAATACCTATTTATGACAAGCAGACAACTTACAGAATTGGCAATCTATACATGTGATGATCAACTGTACCCTATGGAAAAATATGAGAATGTAGAACAAACAGAGGGATGCACGGGGGAGACATCAGTTTCAATGTTAGATTGTTTCTCATGGAAAATTCTTATAATCATGGTTGCACTAGTTTAGCAGAGTAATCACCTTCGAGATTACTATTTTGTCCCTTTCAATTTCCTTACTTTTCTGGTTTAGCTTAACTTGGTGAAAAGAAAAAATGCTTTTTCCATTCAACTACCGAGAGGCATTATGAAGTGAACAGAATGAACATGGATACAACTCCTAAGTGGTTTGAGAGGAAAATGGCTGTGGAGAAGGGTGATTACGGCTAGATAGCAGAAATGTGCTTTAACGGGTGAGGGCAGGGTGGACAGGAGAGGACATGGACTGGGTCTATGGAAGAAAATCAAGATGGGTTGGCCTGGTTTTGAGGAGAATCTGATTTGGAAAGTGGGAAGAGGGAATGACACTAGATTTTGGCATGACTCTTGGTTAGAAGGAGGCTGTTTAAAGCAGTGTTACCCTATAATTTACACGATTGCACAAGCCAAAGAAATGCTGGTGGAAGAGGCTTATTCGTGGGAGTATAATCAATGTGTTTGGACTATCAATGTGAACAGAAATTTGAATGACTGGGAAGTGGAGGAGTATGAAAATTTATTGAAGAAAATTTCTGAATTTCAAATGGGAAATGACCCAGATCAGGTGCAGTGGAGGGGGAGTAAAAATGGCGAGTTTTCTGTTGGCTCTTACTACCGCATGTTAATGGGGTACAAGCTGAATAACTCTCCATGTTTTCCGAGTAAAGCAATTTGGAAAAATTCCGCACCACCTAGAATGGCATTCTTCGCCTGGGAGGCTTGCAGGGAAAGCATATTAATCTTGGATAAACTGAAGTCTAGGGGTATTACACTTGCAAATGGATGTTTCATGCGTCTTAGGGATGAGGAAAACTGCCGCCACCTTTTTCTTAGATGTCATTTTGCTTCTGAGATGTGGAGTTTGGTATATGGCTTGCTTCGCATTTGTTGGGTCCCTGCTGGGTTGATTGAGGATGAAATATGGGTTTGGGAGGGTGTTGGACTAAAAACAGAAATTGCAAAACTCATCCTCCTATCCATATTTTGGGTTTTACGGAAAGAGAGGAACTTGAGATCTTTTGAGGGAGTTGTGAATAATGTAAACAAGTTAAGAGAGAGATGGTTCAATTATTTTGGTTTTCTTGTAGTAGGTCATGGCATCATCAAGGCTGAGGATTCTGGGGATGTCCTTGATATACTAATTAATTTGTAAATCTTTTGTAAATGGGCAGTACCCCCTCTCTTTTGGTACTATACTAATATAGTTTCAATATTTTTTCTTTCAAAAAAAAAAAGATTCTGGTTCTATGCCATGAAATCATGTTCCTCTGCACAATCACAGGAAAAGCAAAAAATATGTTCTTCCTTATCGAGGGAACATCAATATCACATTTCCTATCCATTTCAAAGAGAAAGTCAACATACTAAAAAAAGAAAAGTTTTCAATATTAATATACCCTTCATTTTCTAAGAAAGTATTTTGAATAACTGCATTCTAAGAGATTAAGAAACACAACCCGTCAACATTCCAAAATGTTTTCCATGTTCCAGTTTCAAAAGATGTGGTACTCAGCCTAACCAGAATGAGCAGCAACAGATAGTGCCAGCTAAAACTTAAGAGGTTTTACTTTATTCTTTTCTGATCAATCCCTAGGACAAGAATTAGGCTGCTATCTTTTAACCTAAATTCCAATATTTTGGCCCCCACCCCCCAAAAAAAAACGTTAACAAAACAGTCCGTTCAATTGTATGCAACTGAAGAAAAGAAACAGAATTTAGCCCATAAACTGTGGATTAATATATGGGTTTCTTATTGAACGGGAGAGCTCCTCATGATCTACAGCATTTTAACTCTTAAAAAAATCACGATAATTACTTATAGTGACAACTAATAAACTTAAAGGTGAATTTAAGTTTTCCAATTTGGCTAACAAGTGGTTATATCTTCAAAGAAAATCTGAATTTCCAAATAAATGCATAAAGATGAAAATCCATTCAGCGAAATCTATTACCAAAGAAAGGATTTGCCAAGATCAACTAATATGAATTTACTGGAAACTGTAACAAAACGATTTTTGACATCGAACCAAACAATCAATTTGCCAAGATCAACTAATATGAATTTACTAGAGCTTTTGGTAAATGATCGTACGTACCTTGACTTGCAGCTACTCCTCTTTTTCCTGTTTTTCGGGCTTCGTCTTCGCTATTTCGCAGTGAAGAAGAAAGGGTGGGAGATCTTGTGGGTGCCAGTACAGCGATTGGCTTGTAGGTCTGCATTATCTAACCGTCAGATTTACGCGAGGAAGCTTCTTGGAAGGAACACATCTCAGTCGTCAAAACTATTCAGGTAGTCCGACTGGCTTATTATCATCAAGAAAAATATTACAAATTAATTTGTATTTTATTATCTATTTGGTTAGTTTAAAAAGTTTGTAAATTATACAAATAATTTTTTTTATTAACTAAATCAATCTTCTTTCTTTACTAGTATGCAACTAAATATTTAATATTTTATGTTTTAATTAAATGCTTAACATTTTTATTATATTTAATTTAAAAAAATTAAAAAAAAATAACTATATTATTAACATTGTTAATTTTTTATATAATATATAGAATTAAAAAATATAAATATGCAGTATTTTGTATTAATTACTAAATTAAAATTTTAATACTAAAGTATATTAAAATAAAAATATTTTATTCTTACTGCAGTTAAGCAATTTAATATAGTTAATATAATTTTTAAATAAAAATAACTAAATCAATTCAAATAATTAAAATTTTATTTTCTTATCATAGTGTATGTAATGCTTCAGTGAAATTCAAAGCCATTAATATACCATGCATATTTATTTTAAAAAAAAAAAATACTTTGCATTGAATCAATTCGGTAAATATTGCAAGAATGTCATGTGTTCCCTTTTTACAGACAATTTACTTTAATGAGTTCCAATAAAAGAATTTCATAAGACACCACTATTATTACTTTAAATTTCAACATATAAACTCAATCTTACTACATATAGCATAAGACTATATATACGTATGTGAGTCAAGATGAATCTAGTGTCTTAATTTGTTGCGCTTCCTCTAATTGTTAAGTTCTTACATTGCATGCTCAGCGTGCTGTTTACCACACATCTGAAAACAATACGTAATAGTATATACAGTCTCTTAA